GATGAACCTCAGCTAAACTTACATTTGTCACTGACAGAACTTTTCAGAGCAAGCAATCATAATCTGGCTCACTAAAAACTACTAGTGGCTGTTGGATAGATGTAAGAAGAGAATGGAAGAGGGAAAAAGATTTGAGTAGCTCCAATTTTCGTTGAGACTCGCACGATTCACACGACTTGTACAATGAAATACACAATACGCAATGCTACATAAGTAAATAATTTAGGCGAGGAAACAGATGCATCTACATCAGCTCCCTTCATCGACAAGAATATATTTTAAGCATAAAATGACGAGCAAACTCAAGGTCGTACTGGGATCATCAAGTTATGTATGAAAAATGAGCGTGATTGACTCTGGCCACCCTTGTTTTCTTTGTATGTTGTATAATGTTGTTTTTTTTTGTAAAGTATGACATATCTTAACGCTATTTTCCTGGAGAGCCTGAGGCGAATCAAATCTAAATCGAAGTCACATTTAAAGGTTAGCTTCAAAGAATAAAACCAACAGACGAAAATCATATAGATCTAAATGCGGAAAAACACTTCAGAATGTACTCAGTCAATTGTATTGTAAATACAGATTAAAAATAAACGATGGATGATAAAGGATATATGTTCTCTAAAGTCATCTAATAAAAATGATCAAATAGCAAGAGGGAAATGTTAAAAAACAGAAGTTCATCGATCATTTTGTTTATCAAATAGATTAATATATTTGTTATCCTACCCTTTCCCAAATAAATTAACACAATTGGAATAAAATTATGTAATAATATAAGAAACGTTGCAGCTCGTAGTGCGAAAAAAAGGTTCACCCATAGAAGTGATGGTAAATAGACAAAAATTGCTCTGTGATCAATTTATACATGGGGCAGTGTGGCTCAATGGTTAAATGTCTAAAATAAACGCCGCATTACCTGAGTTCGATTCCCGTTAAAGGTGTTGATGAGACCCAACTTGCATAAGAATAACTTTTTGGATGCAAAGCTAGGTGAAATTCAATGTCACTTTGAGGACCATACAAATTATTGTATGATAATTTAGCTGTCAATCCTTCATCAACTTATGCTACAAAGTATTTTCATCATTGAAGATATGAAAACCAAGATGTTATGGCCTCTGGTATGGTCGCAGTCTCCTTTCGATTCAAGAAGTGGGTTGACCTCGTTGTCGCAACTTGGTCTTGTTGTCAGGGGGACTTAGTAGAACGCACCTAGTCCGAAGCCGTTATGATTCCCAGCATCAGTTGGTGGACTATGTACATTCTCAAACGTTTCGCCGGCATGGTAGTCGGCATCATCAATGAGTTTTGCCATTCGCCACACCAAGCTACGAACTCGTCAAAGAGATTTGTCGTTTGAGAATGTACCAAGTCCACTGTCTGATGCTGGAAATCATGACAACTGCTATGGTAGACAACTTAGGACTAGGTGCGTTCTACTACGTCTCCCTGACAAGACCAAGTTGCGACAACGAGGTCAACCCACTTCTATTTTCATCATGTTTCTGTTTGTCAAGGGGGCAACAATGAATCAGTCAACCTAAGGTCGTATTGTTAGGAAGTCTCTTAAAAATATGAGATCAAGTGGTTTCACAAAAAGGATAGATCATAGGAATAGATAAAAATAAACATTTAATGTGATGCCATAGGAAAACCGGATAGTGCAATCAAGAGGAAGAATAAAGAATAAAGATACCTGACAAAAGGAATTTTGATCCATCACTCGAGATCTGGCCGAGCGGTTTCGCCCCGAGATCAATGGCGTGGTACGATGTGGGTGGTTTCTTCGACGCAGATACTGCTGACTCTTCAGCGAACTAACTGGCCGATCGAGAGCTCCTG